AGCGGAAACGGGTGCCAACTGTATACACGTTATACTTTTATCTAGCCATAAGCACGGTCTAGTACTAGTAACAGGTTCAAGTTACATGTACGATACGATGGCTTTTATATCTAGTGCTGGAATAATCGACCATATTCTGACAGCGGTTATGACAGTATCCGGTGAGGGGAATGCTGACTGGAAGTCGTTCCGTACGACCTGAGGTTTCGTGTTTAAGATTTTCTGATCTAACGTGACATATGCTTATGTATATAACGTGATATGGCTGTGCTCGCTAAATGTTCAACTTCAGGCATACCGATAACCCCCTTTTTAGCCATTTGATTCCGATGTCTGAACGTGTCCTGGACTGACATAGTCGGTTTGGAGTTTTGCCTGCAATTAACCCATTTTTACAAGGGCGGAGGACGCCACAGACTATCTGCTACTGCTCCATATGGAGTTACGTCGTACGCGTATCCACATAACGTAACGTCAATGAGGCCATGAATTCTTTGACAAATACTAGCGTCGTACAGTCTAAATTTCTTTGGCAATTGCATGTTTAAGATTCTTCTTGGTAATATATTCGGTTAAAATCTATTTATAGTTACAATTGATCGCGTAGACTGATGTTGTTGTTGTGGAGTATTGACTTGGTATTTGGACGGCATTTACCGTTGTAGCGTTTTGTTTTAGAAAAAGCTGTTGCTTGAATGGATTGTGACTGATAACAGAAGTGATCCAACACCTTGCAACGTAAGTATTACGTGGTACAAAATAAGTCAAGCAGCATAGAATTTAGCGACGTTTGCATAGACAGTTTCTTTTTTGCATGGTTCTCCTGTCATCTCCGTGTATGTGATGTATACGATGAGCACAGAACGTAATTTAGAAAAACGGGGGTCCCCTTTCAGTCTTACTGAAGGCTGCGTGTGCAGATCATCATCTTGCTATTGTTCAACTGTTTTCTTTCTCTATTTATGCTTCCTGTTTTGTCGGTGTGGGCAAGGAGGTCCACCTATCGACCTACAGGTCATTCTTCGCCGACTTCTCGTTCCCTAGTTGCTGGGGTAACGATAAAGCGCTGTGAAAGGTGCGTCTTCATTGGTCAGGTAATTAAGTTAGTAACTCAAGAAATTGACCGGATGCAATCACAAAGGTACAATCATCCGGGCATCGTTACGACGTCACCAGTGCTTGAAATCGGTATGATAGTCTCTATGCTTTTCAGTAGATATAAAAAAAGTATTAAACACGTTTGTAGATGAAAGTTGGGGTGCTTGCTAGCTATAGGTTTACGTTGTTTTCCGTCCCTAGCGACTGTACCATCCCTTGCAGTCGGACTGTTATCGTGTTTTTTTTTACTACACGACTTTATAAAATGTCTGGCAGTTGAGACGATACGGATGGAAGAACATACACGAACAATTTTGTTCACACAGAGCAAGGAGGTTATAGTATCGCGTGTAAAAGTTCTTCACAACACTAGGATATCCGTTTGACGAAACTGCCGTTCAATATGGTGGCCTTGAATTGGGACTTTGAAACTAAAGGTTGTGGGTTCGAACGCCTAGCAGGTCTCAATGCTGTACCCTGGCCTTGGGACATGGCACTTTACACTTATCTCCATACTCTATCTCAAATCGGTTGAGCTGAGGAGAGCCATACATTGTCATTCTTGCTGTGTCATTTTGCAGTAGGACATAGTCTATATGTTTAAACCAATTAGTTTCAACAGTTCTTTTCGTCAAAACGTAGCCACTTTCTTTTAAATACATATTTCCAGCTTTAACGTCCTCTATACGTTTTGTGAACATAGTGGGGGTGTGTACGGGGGTAACGTGGCAAGAAAAACAACAGAAGGAACCCTGGCCACGGCACTGGGTATACATAAAGGTGTACAATGTATACAAAATAAAAAACATGGGTGGGGTGCTAGCGCTATCGAAATGTCGCCCTTCCCCTTCGTACTTCCCTGTTACAATCGCATCGTGAACGGATGTGTCTGATGAACTATTTCCCCGCATATTTGAGTTACATGGTACGTAAATACCTCCCGACTGTGATTTTTTTTCACTGGCTATTTCGTCGACTAATGTGAATATAAACGCAAACAATTGACGCCGTGTACGAAAATCAAAGTGGACAACTCTTTCAGATATTATAATGTAGCACCAGACCAAAGGTTTTGCACATTTCGTCCAGAGCAAATTGAAGATGAATTTCACTTTGTTGTGAAATGGCCTTGATACGATGTTTTACGAAATAAAGTTATTCACATTTCTATAATGAAGTACATGTACAACAGATTTCAAGAACTTCGATGCTACAGACAGATTTGAATATATATTTAGATGCAACAACTCCCGCAATGCAAAATACTTCTTTGTTATTAGAAAAATACCAAAATTTATGATTAGTCCAATTCGATTGTAACACTATATCAAAGGCTTATGCTAGCCCTTTTTGTTTTAGTTATTATGATGTTAAGTTTTATTCTATACCTTTTTTGTACTACGTTTAATAGTTGTTGCGATATTATACCATGCCATGCATTATACCATGTACGTTTGTCGTGCAATAAAGTTCTTCTATACAACATCTTATCGTTACATTTTCGTCCAACATTTAGCGCAACAGAGAATTTTCGCGGCCTCAATGGAAAATAACCTCAGCTACGGGAACAATTTCAACAAGTTGTAACACAAGCATGTCCTTCAACGTGGGGAGGGCGTACTTGTAAAATGTCGTAGCTGGGCCATAACGTAACGATTCTAGATCTGCAGTTGTAACTATGACGCAGATTCTTGTACGTGGCAACCCACTGTAACATCCATAATTACTACTTGAACTTTAAGATTTCACCATTTACGATAAGCCCTAATATTACGTACCGAAAAGAATACTACAAGAGACATGTTTTTGTAGCAAACTGGTATTAAATTTAAAGATATAATGATTACAATGCGTTACGTAATACGAAATAAGCAACTGGATTAAATCTCTGAAGAGGTATTTGATTTATTTTGTATTAGGTAATGTTTTACCTGGATATCTAACTTTCATCGATAAAACAACACGTTGGTTATGATTTCATACTGTTGCCTTCGAATAACAACGGGTTTTGCCTCTTCTTATGTATATTAATGAAGATACTTGTTACGTAGTGCAAAATGTTTTGTTCTAATCGTTTCTTGATGTTTCACGTAGAATTTTTAAGTGTATCGTATCTATCGTTCTAACCTTTATGTTTAAGGCCTCTAAATTGCGCAAACAGCAATATTATACATAAAGGCTACAGCAGACAGAAGTTTGCGTTGTTTTCGTCAAGAGGGCGTAAGGTTATAGTTATAGTGGATTACCAAGACAATCACTGACCTAAAATACGTTGTGTTGTTATAAAAAATTTGCTCAAGTCTGAACATTGCGCCGAACGTCAACACTGTGTACTCGCCGTGCTTTGTTATGATTTAATATAATAACCATGTCATGTTTTTCTGTGTCAACCTTTTTCCCTCGCCGTACTGTGTCCATAACGTAAACAACGCGTAGACGTGAGTCACTTTTTGCACCTGACTCATATAATGACGAAACGGCTATTTTGGATTTCCCTGCAACAACCATCGCAACGACTGTTTGGTTTTACGACGGTCTTGCGACTGTTTCAAGAGCGTCGTAAGGCCGTTGTGTTTTAAGACATGAACGCACCTGTGTCTGTGACACGTTCTCAGTCCACTTTCATAACAGAATGGCCCTTCAGAACGGAACGTTTTTCCAATGCCGTGTCCTAAATCTGCTAACCCGGCGTCCCCAGCCTTGTACGTACGTAGTCTCGCTTGGTATTTGCTCACCCCACTCCGAGCACTACGCTCCCGACATGGCGGGCGACACACAACACTTGCGACAAAACCACTTCCGCCATAACAGCAGCTAGCCCCCGCGCCATACATTCTCCTCCCGTACCTTCCCTCCAAAACATGTCGCAGTGTGGGGTGTGTGTAGAAGCATTATCTTATATAAACCCGACACGTATATGAAACCCGGACACACCTGTGGTGGTCGTACCACTCTCCGACCGACCCTTTCACGAATGCTACACGAAGCACAACTTTCGAACTTTATCGAGGAAAATGCAACATACTCACCTTTAAGTGTCACGACTTGGAGCCGTTGAACGTTGTCACTTGTTCTTCTTATCCTATGCATCAGGCTCGAGCGATGTTACTACGCCCCGTGGCCCCCAGACCTAGACCTATATATTCCGAACTCAATACGTATTGACTCACCTTCGCATTGATATCGTTCCCCTTCTCGATTATTCTTTGAATTCTCTTGATGTCCGAGCTGCGTATGGCCGCCAAAAACCTGAGGAGGGGGAAAAGAGGGTGTATTATGCCTGTCTAAAGCGGGCGATCAGAAATCCAAAGGTCGAATCCGGCCCAGAAACATCGCTCTGACGATTGGCATGACGCAGGAAGAGAGACAGGGTGTCACGCATGTGGGAGGGAAGGAAGCTGGAGGGCTTACGCCTCGGCGCTGGTCCCACTGTCCCCCGCCGGCTTGGCTGACACCTCCCCGTCCTTGCCGACACCCAGAAGCTCCCAAATATTGCGCTCTTCTCGCACAGCCATGCGATCTGGTGGAGGCTTGGCGAAAAGTAGGCGAAGCACGATGGTTCCGTAGGTTCAGTTGAAGTACAGGAGCCTTGCATAGGGCAAACACTTCGTGCAACGATAGTCAGGACTAATTTGGGGGTTTCCGGCAGTCTCTACATTCAACGATAACGTCACAATCTCAAGATATCCTGACCTTAAAATAGAACTAAACTTAATAGAATCTTTGTACAATCTTTTATAATCGTATAGTTTTCAATACCGGATCGGACCGTAAATGAATAAAATAAATGATATATGTTAATGAGACGAGAATCCCCCATACACGATCGCGGAAATGCTAACATAAGACGTCATGGGTTGAAAAGCCTGTATGCAAATGAGCTTCCCTAGAAACGAGAACTGACGAATTTCACATGCTGATTCCCAATGGGAACTAAATCACTGCCACGATGGAAAGCGTGATGACCGTTTATGACTCACATTTCTTATGAATATTTGAGATTAACACCCAAACCAAAAATGCGGAAGTGATGTAAACTCAATTCTCCTAAGTTCCTCCCAGCATGCAACAGTCAAGATGGCTGCCCGATGGGTCATTTCATGTCTAGCGGTAATCATAGGTGAGAAAACTGGTTTTATTTGTTCGTTTGTCTAACTTTCTATACCTCATAATGCCTTGGCCCTATAAATAAGAATATTTTGCATCAGTAGAGAGTTTCTAAACGATAATTTAGCGATATTTGGTCACATTTTCTTGCTCCACAATCTGAAGCTCCTGCCGTGACATGACGGCTTGCTCATGTGACAATTTGTAAATCGACCTGGAAAAAATTACGTCAGTTCTTGTACGAATAAAATCTGGTATTTCCAATAAAAACTTTAAAGGAAATCAACAATTAAACATGCAAAATGAAGTTTTACAAGTGGTCTATAAAAATAAACACCCAGTGTTGAAAAAATTATGTGGCCCTACACACCCTTTTTTAGCATAATAATATTGGTTGTCAGTCGTTTGTCGTTGTTTTTCTTTCTCTTTTACGTCATCCGTGTGCCTTTGAGCAGAGTCCTTCAATCTGGTTTGAGGCGATTGGGCCTTTGCTTTTTATCAGAGCATGATTCCACATTCTGCCGGGTCAGTGACTTTTTCATCGTGACCTTTGATCTCGTGATATGATCATGTGACTGTTAAAACATCAGTTTGCATAATGCAAATGAGACAAGGAGAGGTTTTCTATTATAACGTCCCATGAAACATAATATATTGTATGCTGAAGTGCCTGTACAGCTCTGTGTGGTCCAAGAGCTTTAAAAACAGAGATGAGCACCATCCTATAAACCATATGTTGTGGGAATGACTTTTTAAAGAAAAAAAAAAACACTTTGCAAAATGGGATGTGAAAATGACCTTGAAAATACACACACATGATATACATGTATTGATGAAGAGTAGACATCTAGGTAATAAGATACCAAAGTAACAGTTACTCAATGTAACTGGATAGATTTTGAAAATGGTCAGACATTTCACAAAACATCCACTACCTTTCATCAGTGACAGAAGAAAGGTAGTGGATACTACCAGAAATCAACCGTTTTTAAAATCTATTGGATCCAGTTGCTTGAGTAACTTTTACTTTGGTGCACACATACTATGAACTCCACAGTATGCTTTATGTTAACTGTGTTTTCCATGTGCCTAGGCCTATGCAGGGGTGAGCAGCTATACGTGCTACATGCTCCCAGCTATGTCCAGTTCCTGCCCTCTGCTTCCCCTCTGTGCACAGTGGAACTGCCCAAGGTCATCAGCCTAGTCCTAGGATTTTCCACCAACAAGGTAAAATGTGAAATAAGCCACTAAGTTTAAAAAGTAGAACATGTGCTTTACATTTAGGTTTACAAAGGTGATATATTTATGTTTACCGAAGGAAAACATGTATTGTTTTTGGTACGTTTCCTCTTCTTCTCCAACCCAAAAAGGTCAATGACCTGAACCAGACTGTTACCATGGTAACTAGTGTTGGGTTACATCATGTTGCAATTTTATAGCAGGAGGGATTTAGACTCCTGTCTGACCAGAATTAACAGAGCAGACCATATGCAAAGGTGAACATTAATATGCATCTGCTTTGCAAATGTTACCTTTTTGGTTTCATGAAATCTTACACAAATATTTCTTTTTCTTTCCTGAAAACAGGTCAAAGTTAACACAACCCTAATCCACACAAATTTGTGTGCAACTCTCATTAACCATTTCCTGTATAATATTCCCAGGACTTGGAATGGCAGGGTCTAGGACCAGGCAGCTTGTTCCAGCGACCGCGGGCAAACTTCCTCATCTCAGTGGAAAACCTCCCTAACGGAGCCACCATTGAACCTGTAGGAGGTGTAAAGGCTGCCTACCCTGTCAAACAGGTAAAGACATGTTATTGTAGTGACTTGTTTTGGGACTTGTCTAAATGTCAGTGCTCAACATTAGAAAGGTACTTCTTTCATCTGATACATATTTTTCAATAAAATGGGCAATACAGTTTTGGTGCCAAAATGCTACTCTCACCAGTTAAGGTGTTTCCTTGGCGCCCTGTTCATTTTTAAAGATAATGCTTTTTCCGATTTTTCCCCTACAGACCGGGATACCAGATCTTGAGGCTGTGCATAGCCACATTGCTACCAGCTTCCCTGACAGAAAATCACTGATGCTGGACCTCAGCATGGATGGCAATGTAAGATTTACTGTATGTTTGAAATGAACTGTCATCCAATGCAGAGTTTTAGGGTGGCAGAACTGGATTTTTAAAGTCCATTTTCTGGTCATTCTTTTAATGTTGTAAGTTGAATCAATTATTTAAACACATCAAGTATGAAATGATGATGAAAATGTGCTAAGAAATGGCAGTAAGTATCAATATCAGACAGATTTCCTTATCCAAAATACTTTTTTTTTGTTTTCCACCATGAAATTGCATTGGATTCCCTTAAGTAGACTTGTGCCTTCATTTTCATCACTAGACGACTAATGACTGAAGGATATGGGAAAAAAAAATTCTATCGTATCAAATCACTCTCAAGGATTTGGACTACAATGTTTAATCTACTAGGGAGTAAGTATCTTTCTTTAATTCTCTACTTCCTAGGTCTTCGAGATGAGATCCCTGTACCCTGGGCTGTTCTCTCAGCTGCCTGCCACCCCCCAGCAGATTGCTGTCCACTTGCAGAAGGATGGATCAGTCCTGAGGACTGAGCGACTAGGCAGCCTGAACACAACTAAAGAGGTCAGACATATACTGTACAATTATTTATGGCTATGTACTTATAGTACCTGAAATAAAGAATAAAGGAATTATCCTTTCTAACAAAGGAATTTTGTAGGGACCAAAATTAAAAATTTTGTGATGAATTTTTCTTAACTTTTGTCTTTGTGTTTTCAGGCTGATTTGATATTTGCAGGGGAACTGCAGCTGCTTCAAGACATCATGGATACAGTAAGTGGATGAAGGGATGAAGAGAAAAGGAGGATGGAGGCATAAACTCATTGTTAGACCTGTCCTATGACTGAAACAGTTAAATGATTTGGGCAAATGTAAAACAAAATATACCCTAAGTCCTAGTCGTGCCTTCAAGTACATTGTACCAACCCAGGATTGCAGTGCTCAAGTTTTTTCTTTCCTATAACTATCTTAGAGTGGAACTTGCTACTACCAAGTAAAGTACATGTGTAGGGACATCACTACTACTGTAGCTTACAGTTATATGTGAAAAGGTTAGCTGGGTCAAGTTGTTTTTAATGTTACTGAGTTAAGTATTGTAGAGTAGAACTTGCTACAACTAAGTAAAGTAGGGGCATCACTACTAGTACTAGATAGCTTACAGTTACATGTAGATGTGCAAAGGTTAGTTGTGTCAAGTTGTTCAGTGTATATGATACATGTATAACCATCTGCCACCGCACTGCGTGCCTTCGAAGCAGGTGTGTTACATTGAAGAGAAGTTGTACCATCTACTAGTAGTATACAGATACCTTACCTTCCTTACCCTACAGCTTACAGGTAACCAGGCGTTGGTGTCTGATGGTGTACCAGACCTGTTCAGTGTGAGTCTGACTGGAGTTGGACGTTTGGCTCAGGAGTACGGCAAAAACAGCCAGCAAGTCCAGGATGCCATAACTGTCCTCAACAACTTCCTACCAAAGGTTTGGGATTTCATAAACTTCTCTTGAAAAGGGTATTCAATTTTTTGTGTGTGAGGAATCTTCAACTTTTAGTAATTCCAACATTTGAATATGAAAGCAGATGTACCCAGTTCGTAAGGTTGGCTGTATGAATTTCTGTTACTAAATTATGTTGTTGTCAAACCTTGTGTATAACAACTTAAACATACAGTATGTTTTCTCTCATTAGGTAGTAGGTACATAAATGAATTTTACACTTTGAGTATCAAGCTATTTTCCTTGAGAAAAGTAAGATGAATTTTTCAAAGAATTTACAGAACATACATCTAATGATTTTATGGTTTGAACTGTACCCTCATTTTTGCAGTAACAGGAGCTGTAAATGTTTTGACATTTCACCCAAGTTTTGCACAGTTTTCAATTGTCACCAAACATATGTGCTCCATTGTGTCCTGTAGTTTTCCAAGTCGGTGGCTGAGCTGTACTCAGGTGATGTTGTTGTGGAAGTTCTGACTCTGTCCACCCCTACAAGTGGCATGCAGCGGCCACGCCGCTCACTGCTGCAACAGGCACAGGTAAATTTACCATGTGTACTGTTATCCATGTAGTTTGTTACAACTGTGAATGATGCCTGCTTCCTAGTGACTTTTGTTGGTGCTGCAGCAGGAACTGTGATCTTGACTTTTGGATAGTAAGTTTTTGGACTGGAAGGAAGAGTTGTAGATTTGGGCCCCAAGCAGCTTGTTTAGGAACTGTGGGAGCATTTTATATATCTCCTGTTCTGTACATGCTGTGGTCTTGACTGTTTGTTGGCAGATAGTTTTGGGGGTTCAGAGGAAGTGGTATAGACTTGGGTCCCCTAGCAGCTTGTGTTGGAACTGTGATGCCATTTTTGTCTTTGGAAGAGTATAACTCCAGAAAGGATTAATTGATTGTCATGACTTTTGACATGTAGGTAGCTTAGGTAGAGGCACACAGAATTAGAAGCAAATTAGGCAAGTCACAGCTTAATTTGCATAACAAATTGTGTATAATTGTGGTGTTCTGATTCTCTTCTCATACAGGATCTGCCGGGTAATCTTGCACCCCATGTGAAACCTGACTACCCTGTCATCTTCAACATGAGCCTGTGGTTGGGGGTCCTGCTCCTGCTAGCCGTGTACTCTGTAGCCTACAACCTCCTGTACATGGAGCCTGGCCGAGACTCCATCATCTACCGCATGACGTCAGGACGCATGAAAACCGAGTAATGACCAAACTATCAAATCTCCTTACTGCGGGCGGGAATAACGGAGGATAGCTGGTGGCGCCAGTGTTAGGAATTCTCAGCATGGTTGCATGAAGTTTCCCCAAGTGTTAGATAGACAGATAATTTCTTTGCTGGTGTTGTTTTCCCTAGCAAAGGGAATCCACACTCTTTCATGTTAGATCTTGAAGCTGACTGTTTTAAATGGAAAAGGGTTGAGCAATCCTATTCTAATACCTTGAAAAATCAAGTTATTTTATCAGCTATTTTATGTTATTGTAACATAGACTTATACTACATTTTCATGCTACATCCTTGCTCAAAAGCATTCTTTTATTTTGACTAGTCATTCTTTTTTCCCATTCAATTTCAGACTGTACATAAATTTTTATCTTGAAAGTATTTATTTTCTTTTTCTTAGCTTTTAGTTACTTTTTCTTAGACTGTAGCTCATTTTTCCCCCGGCCCCAATTAGACAGCTAATATAAGACAGTCACATTTTCATACCTGTTGTTTTTTCCTTCCTACCTGGAAAGGATGCTTATACCGCTAACCTATTTCTGCGTTTGCTAAGCTTCATGCTTTCTTTTGACAGGGATGACTACACCCGATTTGGGCAGGGTGCACACAGGCCAGTACAGAAATGGGACTGATCATACATCAACCATTTGAGTTTGTATTTACCCATCCTTTTTGTTACTACATACATTTGATCTTTAAGTTAGTTTTTTAGTTCTAATAAGGTATGTCACAGTTCTGAGTGTGCATATGCATCCATGATGCACTTTGGTCTAAGGTAAAATTGAAGTGCCCATACTTGTATACAATTCTCTGTCTGACATGTTTGCAACATTTTCACATGGAGGATTGTCTACATTGTACTTCTGATGGGCCTTAACCTATGACCTTACCCACAATCCCCTATGATACTGGAACTGTGATATGGCTTATTGTAGACATCAGGGTTAAATGTATATATTATGTTCATTGGTTCAAATTGGTTTTGTAAATATGTCAAAAATTATTGTACTTATTAAGTAGTAAATTTCTTCCTTTTTTCTGTTTCCTCTCTTCCCTACCTTGAAACGTTAACTTCTTCTTTTGTCTTTCCTTTTTTAAAGTCACATGTAGTCTTGGCCTATGTGTGAACCAAGAAACTAAACCATGAATCTTTTCAGAACAGACAACTTAAGAAAGACATCATTCTTACAGGCTGTCAAGATTTTCATTCTTAGAAAAACATATAGTATATAAAAAATGTCGAAGTTTACCAGATGGATGCAAATAGTTGACGAAGCATAACTAACTACCATTCATGTTGTTAAATTTTTCCCTTAACCACCAGAGTTCTGTATTACATCTCACATAAACACACCTCATGCCATTTTCCTGTATTGTTGACCCTCTTGTTTCTACTCCACTGTTCTTCTGCACCATTCCTCTCTTACCTGTAACTCAATTCTGTTTAAGGATAATTTGAAGTACAATGTAACATGTTAGATGTATGTTGAGTCAAGAACATTGATTGTGTCTATCAAAGTTAACAATCAGAAAATTGGTGAAACAATAATTCCTGGTCACTTACTGTGTCCCATATGTAGCTTTCACATCGGAAATATAGCAGTGAACATTGAAAATAGTTTGATGTAATCCATTTTGACTTTCCGTTACAGGGCTCAAAATACCACCCATATACAGTATTAGTAAAATTGGAGATGTGCAGTCTACCTACACCTAACCTGCACTGCTCCATGTACTGGGTACATGTATATATTACACATGTGGGCATTTGCTGTACTGAATGTAAACGCTTATAAAATGCTGTATGAAGAAAGGATATTGTTTGTAAGCAGTATCCAGTGTGACCCACAGTTCTAAACTTGTGGTGCAGGTAGCATTGCCTGGTGCAGGTAATTTTCAATGTTACCTGCACCAGCAAGGGTATGCAGAAAAGAGACATGTATTTTGGGCCCTGCTTTGTGAAAAATTTGTAATGTAACCATTGTGGCATTGGTCATAGATGTAAACATCATTCCTTCTAAAAGACTATGTTGTATATAGAACAAAATTGTGACACAACGTTCCGTGTTAAGATTAACAACCAAAATAGTTTAAGTCCTAATCTTAAAAAACAACAGATGAAAACCGTACATTGTAATGAGTAAAATAACAGATGTTAATTGTTAGACAGAAGGAATTAAAAGGCTAAACTCGATCTATTCAATATGGATGAAGCAACTGCCAATTCTGTAATTTATAGAGATAGTGAACACCGAGTATATCACTAAGAAAACAAACAAAGCACAAACTGTTGGAATAGGGGCTTTGGTGTAGGTCGTATTTGCATGTATTTTGTGGTTTAAACATGATGTCGACCTTAGAATTAGTCATTAGGGGAGAAGGTATACTTAGAAAATCTTCTTTGGATCAGTGAGTGTAGTATTTAAGGTTTATAGTGGTACCATCTGCAAGATCTGTCATTAAGCAATACTGTATACTGACTAAACATTGAGAAAATAGTGCTGTGTACATTGTAACCAACTATAGTAAAGTGTGTACCATGGAAAGGCTATTACATTTGTTTTCTGTTTAATGATGTATTTTGAAGATGGTACCTACTATAGAACCACGAGAACTCGAGATGTACACATTATAAATAATATCCAAAGATAGTCAAAAGAACATCAAATAATTATTGAAGAACTTGAAGAAAGGTTAATGATTGATGTTTATTAAGAAGTTTATAGCTCTGAGCCATGTGCTGCTCTAGATGTTTGTGATTGGATAGTCAAGGTACATGTAATAGTAGAACAGTGGTATGTGATATTTGTGCAATAAATGGTATGATTAATGAAGTCAGTATGGGCTGATTACTGGCGACTCAATATAGAAAAGTACAACATCTTTTGGATCCCATTGCATGCTGGGAGTCACAAAGCACCATGGGTAAACATAGGGACAAACAATATCCTCACCCTAACTCCATGCTGCACATGCGTACTGTATTGATTGCAGTGTTATGATTGACATGATATTTGCCTCCTGCGCTACCCATAGCGCCCAGTGTCTCCCAGCATGCAATGGGATCTGTGAAAAGGTAACTGGGAACAAACAACTTTCAGCAGTGAAATAGCTTGATTTCTTAGCCTTGCATGTGAACAATCAAAAGACAAGTCTTCTCAACTAAAACATTGATTTAATCCATACATTTTAAAAGGATATCTCAGGTGCAGATGAGTCTGGAGTATCCCTACAGTTATTTTTGAAAGCCCTAGTGCTGTTTGACAAAGAACATCCTGAATAAGATATTTCATGCATTTTTGTAATTAAAAATTCATCACACTAGTCCATTTTATAATAGTTTCATTACTATCTGAATTAAAATATTTTTAAAAAAATCAATATTTTCCTATCTAATGATAATAAGAAGCACTTGGGTCTTAAAATTGCACTGTTCATCCCTCTGATTACAAATTATCTCTCCACCTTTCAAGGGTATATTTGCCAATGTAGAATATTGAGTTAAAATTTGTCGGAAAGTTTAAACATAGACTTCTGACAGTAAATGAGTGTAATTCCAACACGAGACACATTACTGTTTTCGGATCATCATTGCAAAACATTGCAAAGATGATCTGTATGTGTAAGGCACTGTTAACACCATGGCCATTTCTCTGCCCTACTCATTGCAATGGTATGTCGAGCAATTCTACTGCTCTGCGCGCGGCACACTGTTGTGCTTCTTTCTTGCTGTTACATGCTTCTGAAGCAACTTCAAGACTCGTTGCTTCAGTAATAGCACCACAGGTTACAACGGTTTTAAATCCACCATCACAGTCATATGTCTGATACTTCGGGATGTCGCTGCTATCTAATTTCACGGCATGTTGCTGTAGAGAGCCCTTGTAGTTGATGGTGTCACCCGAAGGAATTTTCAGTAGGTCAATCACCGATTTTGCAGCGTTTTGTTCAGAATCTTTCTTAGTTGTGGTGGCATTGACAGTCTGATATGCGCCTGCTGTTTTGAAGCTCACTGTTGAAAGGAAGGTTTTGTCATCTGTTGGGGTGTCATGGTATTTGGGCGGAGGCAAGCGCTGTTTCTGCACGTGTTGCTGTAGGATAGCCTTGTAATTTCTGTCGGCACTTTCCGTCGCTGTTGCTGGTTTATCTAAAAAGAAATAGTCAAGAAATTTGTTTCAGGAATTGTCCTAGACATGATTGAAACACAAAATGTTTACCAGACCTATGTTTACCAGTAATCTTTCCAAGTTTTCAAAAACCCTTACCTTCATTCTGTAATTGGGGACCATGCTTGTTTGTGACACTGGGGTTACTAGCAGTAGGAGCCTTCCTGGTAGATGCTTCTGTCCCCGATGCTATGGTTGAGGCTGACTCTAGTCCTTTGGGACTTTTGGTCTTAGCTTGTACACTGGCAACTTCTTTCTCTTCCTTGCCTGACCCCTTGGCTTCTGGTGCGGTATCTGCCATTGCTGTTTGGGTTGCTTCTGTGAGGATCCCCAAGACATACAATGCAAACTTGGCGACGTTCTGTTTCGCTTCTTCACGCACACTCCCTAAAGAAACGAACAGTTAAATCAGACATTTCCCATAGTGGACTAGATCGGATGGCTCGGATCCCATTGCATGCTGGGAGACGTGGGGCACTATGGGTAGAGCAGGGGGAAAAGGGACATCATCACCATGTCCTGTCTGGTCTATGTTATTATGGTAATGATGTTGTTTTGCCCTCTGCGTTACTCACAATGCTCCACGCGTCCCACAATGCAATAGGATATCCAGGAAAAGGTTTGTGTACCAAGTAAGGAAATTGATATAGATATAACCAACCTTGAGAAAGAGATGTCGCTTGTCCCTGAAGTTCGTCTTTAGCACTGTCAGGTGTAACAAGATTGAAGCTGCATGGCTCAGTGATGACATGACAGCGTACAACACTGATATAACCACCTTGGAGCTTGTATGTATAGTACGTGGGGACGCCGGATGGGTTCTCTTTAGTGACATACTCCTGCAAAGTACCCTTGTAGTTGGTACCCTTTGCTGTAACATGCGGCAACATCTCAATCACTGCTTTTGCTGCATTTTGCTCGGCTTCTTTCTTGCTCTTCGCAGGTTCCTTGGTTTGGTAGGCACCTCTTGTCTTGAAGCTAACAGATGACAGGGTGGTGCCGCCTTCTTCAAAATCTTTGTATCTGGGAGATGCGAATTTTTGATCTTGCACATGTTTTTGTAGAATATTCGTATACGCCGTACTGTTCTTACTACCTGTTGCTACTCTTCCAACTGAAAAGAAGGAAAAAGATCAGTTAGTAACAACAGAGATCAACAGAAAGCCATAAACAAGTTCTCCTCCATTGGTCACACCTAGGTTGTCATGTTGTGTTGAAGTCACTATTGCCATACTCCTTAACTCCCCTTTGTTCCGACATTGGTTACCCCAATCCCGCTCAGACATCCATGGCAGATGCCTGAAGGGGGCAAACCAACTCGACATCCCTTTGACGAAAACAAAGCGGTACAAAACGAGCCCAATCCCCTATTTCACTGATTTGTTAAATAAACAAGCAGACCTAGGTTGAAATCTCCCAGTACCGGACCAATATTGTTTTTAATCACTTATATATCTAATTTATAACTGCGTACAGCTAGTATTTGTTTAAGTTGTTTGTACCTAGTTTGTCAATGTCCTTTGTTTGTTTAGCCCACCTTATTGTTTAATTGTTTTTAAACCTGTGTACGCAATTCAGCGGTTTAAACGCTGCCATGTACAAGGATTGTTGTCAATAAACTATTATTATTATTATTATTTGTTGCTCCTTTGAGGCTTGGCTCTATTATGAATATTACAAGCTCTCAACAGCAGTGAACAAAAGGCATATAATCTACTTCCTGAGCACAGGAGTTGAGTCTGTACAAAACTTACCGTTTTTCTGTGAGGAGGAACTATCAGCTTCCACATAAGTCACAGAATTTGAAGCAGCAGAATTTGACAGGGTCTTAGCCGGATCCGTGTTCACAGCGGAGGTGGCTTTATGTGCATTTGAATCTTCCTTTGTCATTGGTTTCGCCAGGCTGTCAATTTTAGACCCCTGCATCTTTGGTATAGCGCCTGTCTGTTTGGATGCTTCAAAGGGCAGTCCCAAAATATCCAAGGCAAATTTTGCAACTTTCTGCTCTGCCAATTTCACTACACCCCCTGAAATAAAAATAAAAAACAATCATGAATTTGACAGATTTCCTCAACATGGATGCTAACACCGTGTCTACGATCAAAACAATTTGATTGTATACACATCAGATTTAAACAAATATAAGGCGTACATCTCTGACCTGAAGAAAGAGTTGTTTGAAGATCGGGGGCGTTTTGTGGATCCTTAGGTGTAGTGACTTTGAAAGTACATGCTTCTGTGATGGCCACACTGCGCACAACGCTGATATAACAATCCTCACACTTATAGGTGTGGTAGGTTGGAACGTTGGACGAATCAAACATGGAGGTGAGGAACTCCTGCAGAGCACCTTTGTAGTTTGCATCCCTGAAAGGGGCGCCCAACATCCGAACCACCGCGTTTGCTGCGTTCTGTTCGGCTTCTTTCTTGCCTTTGGCAGGCTCGGTGGTTTGATAGGCGGCTGTTGTCTGGAAGGTGACAGTTGACAGGTAGATCTCGCCATCTGGAGTGGTTTTGTAAAACGGATCTGGAAGCTTCTGCTTCTTCACGTGTTCTTTCAGGATGGCCTTGTAGTCTGTACTGTCTTTGGTAATCACTGTCCTACTTTCACCTGAAACAAAGAATAAGATGTTCAGAAATTGCTTCAAAGATATTATATTGATACGAAATACACATGCCACTAGCAAGCACATCAAAAGGTGTGTTAACATAGCAAAGAAGTGTGTCTGTGAAGGTTTGTGTTTCTAGTCATTTCTTACTCTTTCATATCTGTGTTTGCATGAACAGGAACAGACTTCTTGGCAACTCTGACCCAAGGTTGATGTCACGGTTGAAAATTCGATTTCGTGTTGGATAAAGGTAGAAATGTAGTATTATATTCTTTCTTACTTGTTGCTTTGGTGTCGTCTTTGTTAGATGCCTTTGTTCCGTGTACAGGACTGGCCTGTCTGGGGCGCATGGACACAGCTGGCAGCTGCACGCCTAAGGCAAGTAGGGCTTTCTCTGCAGCATTTTGCTCAGCTTCTTTCCGAGTGGTACTCGTGTCTCCTGGAACACATAAGGTGAATTAGATTCTGGATTAGAATACTGGGGTAATATTAAGAATTCTGGTGGTACTATGTTTCTCTTTCATTTTTTTAGTTTGGTTACCTGGGTAATAACAACTTCACCAAGTAGAAAATATACTGTCCCACTGCCTTTTGATATTCACGAAGTAGTCGGCTTTAAATTCAAGCTTACACATCTCATCTTTCCTTTCAGATCAGATTTATATTCTAAACAAACCATTCTTATCATCCTGTAAACTGTACTAGACATTTGTTCTCACCTGGAGGAAATTCTGCTGTACCGGTCAGCCTGACTTCAGCGTAGAAACCCATGTCATCCTGCGTATAGTTGATTTCCGGTTGGTCTTGACTTTGTTTTCGTAGGTACTCCTGAAGCTCCGCTCTAAAATGTGTTGGATCTGCAAACAGCATTTTGTACGTGTGAAAGGCCATAACATGTACATACAGCTTCAGAAGGACCTGATCTTTCTTTTACAAATCAAAAGCACTTTGAATACATGACATTGTACAATGTACATGTCTCTTGTAGAAGAAGAGAATATATAAGTTTATCGTGTCATATAGAAGAGACACGATAAACTTTTGATCCACTGAAACAAAATCTATCCCTTACCATTTGTCACGTGTGACTGTCCCAACCTCTGCAAGGCTAGCTCACAGGCTTTTTGAGTGGCGACTTTCTTGGATGCAAACTGGCCATCCGGCCGGAAGAGGGCGTTTTTGTATTGCAGTACAACCCTGAATGTGAAGGGAGGCTGTCCTGCATTCGATCCTTCACCTTCCAGCCTCTTGTACTTTGCTTTTGGCAGTTTCTCCTTGTCCAGGTACTCTTGCAATGTGTTCTTGTAACTGATACTGGCACCTACATAAGTTGAAACAAGGCACATGTTCATAATTCTCATTTCTGGGAGCTTGGCCAAATTAAATCCACACATACTCTCGCAGAGTTCCAGTTTTGTACAGCATTTGACTCAAGTACAAATAGCACAAAAGTAAAATCTGTGAAGTATTTCTGTCAACCTAAAAGGGTATCCTTTCTGATTTTAGTTCTGCTGGAGATAAATATATCTGAAACGTTGCTTTTTTGATACAGAGCTTCTCTTAGTACATGTACATGTAGGTGCTTTGAATCAATCTATGGCAAAAGAAGCTTGGCGTACCTGGTGTGAACTTGGGGCTCCCAGGTGGTGCTTCTAGCAGCTTTTGTTTGACTTTCGTCAAGTCTTCCTTCACGTCATCAACAGAAGTCTTGACGTCCCCAATTTTAGCCCTCACGTCACTGATTTCATCTTGGGTGCGTGTGGTGATGTCTTCCAGTTGTGCCATTTGTTTAGTCATAGTTTTGTCCAGGTGACTCACCTCAGCTTTGACGTCCGCAATGTCCCCCTCCACCTTAACCAACCTGCTCTGGTACTGCTGTAACACGGTGGACAGCTCTGATGCTTGGACTTGTAGGACGCTCTGCAAGTCCGCGTTGCCATTTACCATGTCCAAGATGGAGTTCACGGTCTTTGATGAAACCTTCGCAAGATACACAAAAGAAAACATGTCATAGTGACACAGTTCAAAACTAAGACTTACACATACAGAAGTATTGAGGTCCTATATGTAGCCTTCAGATTGTAGAAGTTGGCAAAACAAGGAAGAATAATTGGCTAGGAGAGTCAGTTGGCGGGAAGGTTAATTTTCTCCTAACTGCGCAAGAAAACTGTACTCTAGGATGGCAAAACTCTCCTTGCAAATTATTCTCTCTATTTGGCTTAATTTTACTGTTTTTATCCCCCATTGTTTAATAGTCTGGTGGAAACTGATGTATGTATGTACCTTTTCCTCTGTCGTCCTCCCTTGCTCCAGAGCATCCAGGCGGGTCGCGTGATCCCCCAACTCTTTCTCCTGAAGCTCGAGCGACTTCTTCAAGTTCTCCATGAGGTCTGTGAACACTTGTACCTCTGCATCATGGCAAGCTTTGTCGGCACCGATGTGAAAGTCATCTGTCTGGATCTGTTACAACAAGTCACAACAATATGTAGCTATAGACAAATCTAGATGCATAATATGGTTTTGAAACAAAGGAGCTAAAACACATACATACTACCCTACCACAGTCTTAAGAATTTAAGTGATCAATTATAGTAGCATGAGGCAGACAGCAATAATTTAAAGTGCATAAAACAAGTTACTAAATTAAATACACCATCAGCCTACCTTACTAATCTCGTCTGCAGCCTTCTGTGCAGCTGGATCGGATTTTATTTGTGTATCACGCATCAGACTCAGAACTGCAGCCATGTGATCTTGGAATTCCTGCTGGCTGAAAGTCAGGTCTGCAGAATGCATGGCGCGATTGCGGACTTCTATGACCTTGTACGTGCAAAAGGAAATATTTCTGCTCAATTGTTCCTTTCTGTATATGTTAGTGTAGATATCAGCTTGATATGTTACTTCAGAAGAACTTGCCATACATGGTACCTACTACAAGTGTTGTGCAATTAAGTTTGATTGATTGATTGATTGATTGATTTATTGATTGATTGATTGATTGATTTATGGGAGTAATGTTAACGTTAGGAAGACACAACCTTAGATTCTATTATCTTTTAAAAGGAAAAATGTAAACCATATTTTATCACTAATATACTGCATAAACAAATGAACCTTTAAAAATTAAAGAACCTATTCTTCTGTACTACTGTATAGGAAGCAGATACTAAAGAAGGTTTTAAAGCAAATTTTGCAGAAGTTCCTCTAATACAATGTAAATCAAGTGCTGGAACTGACCCACCTTTTGCGAGGCCTTAGTGCTGATGTACTTGTTGCAAAATTTGCAGTGTACAATGAAGTTCAAGAGTGCTGAGGTATCTGATTTTTTAGGGCCCGTGTTGTCTGTGTTTTGGCCTCTGGGCATGAACACCTATTGGTTTAATAGAATTCAATCAGTCATACTCATCAATTTGACGAAATGCTACCGTGCGTACAACAAAAAGTATAAGGAAAACATTAAAAGATTTACGCGAAATCTAAGGTACTGACTTTTGCCACCTCCCATGGTTCCTTGCTCCATTTGTTGGGGGTACAGTTAGTCCAGTAAATCTGACTCTTGGCGCCTTTGTAGTAGTTTGCCAACTCCTGTCGCCAAGGCTTGCAATCCTAGAAAAATATTAGACTTCTCCATGTATGCTGTCAACATAATGTGCTTTGGCTTACAACACAAAACATAAGGCTTTTTAGCGTTGGAAAAGATATATCCATACTTAAAAGGTGTGGGCTGTAGGAAATTCAGGAGTGTTAACATTGTTTAAGCACAAAAAAATACTTGCAAAAAAAATATTTCAGCAAGTATATTCCTGTATTCTATCCCCATCTTGTCTAGACCCATTCTATATATTGTTTGATCTTCTCTTACCTTACATTCTTGTTTTTTCTTTGGGTTACAAGTGCAGTTTTCCACACTGTCCCCAAGCTTGGCTTTGACCTCCGCATGCAGTTCCTTCGCCGCTCGCAAGGTGACACTAGTGAGACCATCCCGGGTGGCCAACAGGGCTAGCCCCACCCTCAGCCAGTTTTTGTAGCCCTCGCTGTTGCGTTGGTCTTTCAAGCTCATGTTCTCCACTGATGGTCTTGCGTCACTTCTCACCAATCATTTTGGTTATGCCCCTGCTGTGACCTAGTTGAACATCAGTTTAATAATTAATGCCATCAAATCAATAATAGAGTGTGAGAAAGACAGGTAAGGTCTTAGGAAAAAAATGTTGTGTTTCCTGTTTCAGTTCTGAAAAAATTAAGGTTGGTAGGTAGGGATTATCTTTTTAGCAGTTTAACAAAGTAAAACTTACATGAGGACACTTTTATTTTCAATGTCAGTGTTAGAAAACCAATTGTACAACGTTTTATCAACGGTTTAATATAACGTTTTACCTAGAAAGGTAAAATTTGTAAAGAAAATGTACAATGTTTTATTGTTTACCTTCACCTGGTTTAGCTTAACACACTACTGCTCTGTTTTTAATTACTCAAAGTCAAAAGTGACTAAACTTTTGTTGTGGAGCCTCCTATTCGAGACATTAAACAAAATGGTATGATTGTAGTCTACACAAAATTCTGAACTGCAACACATAACGGTTATATACTTAGTAGGACTACTGCCCCATTGAAAGCAAATTAAACCTTCGTACCATTTGCTTTACGTTACAACATGGACTGTAACTTACTTCCGGGTTGATCAAGAGCAACATTTCGTTCACATATTTACCGTTTACCTGCATCTGTTTGGCCTCCGAAAAGCCGAGTGGTTCCTCCAACGCTGTCTAGTTGATGATCGGGTGAAGTTGATTGAAATTAAGGCTGTTTATCACAACAGACTCTATGAACGAAAACTAAAAAGTGTTCGATTATGTATGCATGCTGGGAAAAGGTGAAAGGTGACAAGTTACGTTTAACTTGACAATTTGAAGCATTGTCGCTAGATGTCGCTCTTTAAGCAGCATCAGCTCAGAAACAGCCAAGCGAATTTCATACTTGCGGCATTTGGAAGTCAGCTCCTCATTGAGCCGGTGCAATAGCTCAATTGGTAGAGTGCTCGCTTTGTAACCGGGAGGTCGTGAGTTCAAACCCCGGCCGGGTCATACCAAAGACTTTAAAAATGGTACACACTTCTTTCTCTGCTTAGCACTCAGCACATATGAGAAAAAGTGTGGGGAGGTCAAACACACAGCACTACCAGCGGACCAGCCCACTGCTGTAGTGCATTGCACAACTGTGTGTCGCCCAAGGGCTACAGAAATGGGTATGGGCACCACCCTACGCTCTGCATAAGAAGCATGGGAGACCTTTCCTTTTTCCTTTTCCTCATTGAGCAAAAATTCCCAAAATTCTGGCGGAAAATGGTTACTGAAAGGGCCCTAGGCTGATTTTAGGGTACCACCTCGAAAATAAAGGACTCATCTTGGGGCTTGTTTCTGCATTTAAAAATGCTCTAGTATGAAATGCCCGGTAAATGTGCTAATGTGAAGCAGTATTTGTCAACATCACCGGACACAAGATTGCCTTATTCATTCGAATCAGAATATTTCCAGTTTTGCTGCCCTGAAATCGCATTGGATGCCTTTAATTTATAAGTCCACCTGAACAGAAGACATAACAATCGGAGGTTCTCCCGTTCAGTACATACTATAGCCCCATACTATACCATGATCGAACTTTCATTAGCTTAACCCCACACACCCCACACTAAACCTGCCAACCACGAGCCACAAGTGATCGTAAGATGTTTACTTTCTTGCTGAGAGTCATAAATCAACATAATAAGGTTACTCATTAACTTTCTCTTGAGTAGATCATTATTTATTAGCCTGTTTAGTCGCCATAGTGCTACTACTTCTGTACTGCTGGTAGTGTAGATATCAGGATGGCTGAAACGTTAGAGACGGTTACCGGCTTTTTCTCCCGTATGTTACCGAGTAACGAAGAGGCCCTTCTGGACACACTTGCCTACGTTATGTTAGGGCTGTCCGTACCGGTGTTCTTTATAATGGTTTTCGTCAAGGTGGCGGAATATGGCCGCTACACGGTGAAGTCGACGTCCTGGTCGCTGCCAGCACGGCCGGCGTGGCTATTCCAGGAGCTGCCCTCGTTTGCTGTTCCCGTGCTTCTGGTGCTGTCCGGTCGTGCTGTCCGGATGACACAGCTGCCCAATCAGGTGCTGTTGGGCATGTTTGTGGCACACTACTTCCAGAGGTAGGAACCATACGGCTAAATGTTAACGTTAATAATTACTAATTAACGTTATTTTCGTGGGTGCACCTTTAGCTTCATGAAAAATGGTGCGCCTGTGTGTGCGCGTCTGTGTGTGTGTGTGTGTGTGTGTGTGTGTGTGTGTGTGTGTGTGTGTGTGTATGTGTGTGTGTGTGTGTGTGTGTGTGTCGTAGTAGTGTGTGTGTGTGTGTGTGTGTGTGTGTGTGTGTGTGTGTGTGTGTGTGTGTGTGTGTGTGTGTGTGTGTGTGTGTGTGTGTGTGTGCGTCGTGTGTGTGTGTGTGTGTGTGTGTGTGTGTGTGTGTGTGTGTGTGTGTGTGTATGTATGTGTGTGTGTGTGTACGTGTACGATTGTGTGTGTGTATCCGCGTGTTTGTAGTCAGCATGCATGGATTGTGATGATATTTGGTACTTGAGTAGGACTTAGGAAGACCGACGAAGGTCAAGGCCGATTTGGGCACTACGGAAACTTTGGCATGTAATCGTTACTGATTGTGTACAGAGAACTTTATTGACCTGTTAGTACTGCTTCCATGGTATCTAAATTTAGAATTATCCTTCTTGTAACTTTGCACTTAAGTATAATAATTTGAAATTACTAATTTACCACGGAATAGATTTTATCAATCAAAGCAAACAGTACTGGGTTTTACCCGTGCAATGTTCAACACTGGTGCAAATTTACAAAGCAGTTACCCAATTACATTTTCGCCGTGACATACACAAATCGTAGCGAAGTATAGCATTAAGATTTTATCTATAAAACTATGTAATGTTCATGCTTATTTCAAAAAGAAAAAAGGGATCTTGTAGATGTAGATGTAGCACAGTAATGTAGCACTTGTTCCTCCTGCCCTTGTACCCCAGTTATCTAACGTAGTGCATTTGGCCCATTTAGGGCGTGAATATAATTGTCATTGTCATGTAACACTTGAATTTCAGGACGTTCATCTTTTCTCTCCTGATACGCGGCGGGAAGCGGACACCGTTCCGTATCTTCCGCGACGCGTTCGTGTTCTGTGCGTATAACGGATACCTGCAGGGCAGATACCTGACGGAGTTTGCGCACTACCCAGATACGTGGCTGACCGACCCGAAGTGCATCGTGGGTAAGGCGACAATGTTTTCAATTCACGTGCGCCAAATGTTGCTACAAAGTTCACTTCAGGGAGAGGAAATCACCTTATAGAGGGAATATAGTTATAAACTAGAGTTACACGGTCTCATGCCTTCCTCAAATGATGTTGACTGGTGCCACTAACATTTCTATAGATTAGAGATGTTGTTCAGCACCAAGGACAGGTAAAGGTACATGTTGTCCCATAGCCTTTTTGAGCAGTGGGTTGTTACTTTTCGAGAGATGCAACTGAAATTTAGGAATTAATGATACTTCATTTATGAAATAATTATAAGGCAGATATTATCTAAGGAAATAACTCATTTAGATAATTGTATGCAAAATCAAACGTCTATTGGCTGATTTTGGACTATTTTCAATCTTGCACTCCTAACGTACCTAGCTTTAGCAGCATATTCTAAAGTTGTGTAATGGACATAAAATGTTTCATTGTAGCTGTAGTGACAGACGTATGTATTTACCTCTCTGCAGGCATCGTCTTGTTCCTGGCGGGAATGGTCATCAATCTTCACGCCGACCACATTCTGAGGAACCTCCGGAAGCCTGGAGAGACAGGCTACAAGATTCCACAAGGTACTAGTATGTGTAGACTGAAAACAAAGCAGATGTCAGAAGGGAAACACTTGCCCCCAAAAAAGAAGTGACGCAATTCTTTACCACACGTAACCACTAATAAACTATTACAAAGTATTAGAAGCAGCTCATGAATTATAACTGTGTATCTAAGTCCAGTCTTTTTTGAGTAGCATTATAGTCCAATTCACGTCACCCATTATTAAGTCCCACGTCGTCATCACACTCAAGCCACCCGACATGCTATTCCCATCTTGGGTCCCCGGCCGGCTCTTTAAATAGCATTTCTTGTTACAATACCACAGGCGGAATGTTCACCTACGTTTCCGGTGCCAACTACTTCGGGGAGATTGTAGAGTGGACCGGTTTCGCCATCGCGTGTTGGTCTCTGCCGGCGGCCGCCTTCGCCGTCTTCACCGCCTCAAACATCGGCCCGAGAGCGTACCGCCATCACAAGTATGTACAGTCCACAGTTTTTGGTACTACATCACATGTATTGCTAAAAGGTTTTGGACAAGTTACACAGTGTAGTACATGTAGTATGCACAGCAAAGCATGTTCCAGTAAGTTGCTTCTATTTTCTTACACATGTAAAGGAGTCAAAGTATGTACACAGCCTAAAACTTTTGATCCAACACAACTCTGGTCTTCCTCAGTAGACTGACCCAATGTGGCTTGTCACGTGACTTCTTCAGAGTGTGACGTCAACACTGGGTCACACTTCAAACAAGCCACGTGACAAGCCTCACTGGGTCATTCTATTGAGGAAGACCAGAGTGACTGGTCGAAAGCTCTAGGTGAGAGAACTTGTTGTGTTGAATCAAAAGTTTTAACTTAAAACGTGTAACTACCAACAAAATGAACTCTCATGATACATGTAGTATGTACAATCTACAGTTTTCGGTATTATCAAACTGTCATTTCCAAGACGAAGGAAATTTCTCGATATTCCCGTTCATCATTAGGTCTCAAAATCTGAGAACCAACAAACAAAAATGATGTGCCCTTATCTGTACTACTGTGATATAAACGGTCAGAAGGTTTCTGTTTGTTACAGTACAGTATGTAATTTCATACAGTTGGCACATTGTTACATTTAATATATTATAGGTCTACAACATAATACAGATACTCAATGTTCACAGCCAGATACCCAATACATGCATCTTGAATTAACACCATACACAATGAGTTTTGCTATTGGAGATTCCTGCATCCGGTATACTTAATACAATGTAAACCATATTTACTTTTGTACATATAAAAACCTTGTAGTGATAAAATAAATATTGCTAAGAAGTTAAGTACAAGTTACACAATACAGTGCGTACAGCACAGCATGTTCTAGTAAGTTTCTTCTATGTTCTTACACTTCTTGATTGCACAATGACTATTGCACTAATCCTAAAACTTGACACGTGACAAGCACAATGACTATTGCACTAATCCTAAAACTACATTTGTATACATGATTTCTTTGATACATTTTGTATGCATGAATAGGATTACCTTGGTACATACACACATTTGCCATCTGCTTCAGAAAGAAAAGATCTATAGAAGTAAAACTTGATTGGCACACTAAAAATCCTCAGCCTTATGTAGATGCTGACAAGGGGATCATGGTAATAAAATGAGAAAGAGCTAGAGCTAAGAGGTACCATAGTCTTTTAGAGGCTATGGGGGCAGCAAGTTGTTATCCAATGTGTCTATGGCATGATACTAGATTCTTCTACTGCCTTTTACCTCCCAACTGAAGTCACACCTGGGTGGAGTAAGGAAAGTTGTCTCTTCCGAGAACACAAAGTCTAGCCAAGAATGTAAGGAGTCAAACCCATGATACCTAAATCCCATGCCTGCTAATCTAACCAATAGACCATTGACACCACTAATTTACATTGAGTAACTTCTTTTGTTTACAGATGGTACCTGCAGAAGTTTGACAATTACCCAAGAAGCAGGAAAGCAGTCATCCCCTTCCTCATCTGATATCATCATCACAGCAGGCAGACATGAATTAAAAACACTAATTAATTACAAAAAGCTCCAACATGCCATTGTGCCTTGCACACACATGTAGGTTAAACCTATACCAATGCGCTAGACTTTTGTGTGCCTTCTTTGCTCGACTTGAGACAAATTGGAATGTAACTTTGGTACAGCTCACTTTTAACACTGGAAAACCCCATACACAGTACCATACAATATGATAAATAGTCTTAGAGTTAGACAATATATAATACAAACATCATACCGTTGCCATTATCATTGATAACCTTGAACAGCTAGACATATTTTTTGCAATATTCTAATGTTGGACAGTAAAAAAAACTAATAGGCACATAACTGAAATGCTTATTGTTACAGTTTCTATACCATGTATCTACATCCAATAGTATGATATACAAATGTACACACACACATGACATTTAGGATAAAGAGTTCATACACTTCAATGTCTTGACTACTTGATTGTACAGTATTCATTTCTAGCACTGAACAGTTCTAAAACCAGGTAATGTAATTTTCCCTTTCTTCCTGACGTCTTCCTCAGGACCGATGTTTAATTTCTTTATGAGTTGTTTTTCTGCTCGGAGGGGGTGATACGCACCATACGTACAGGCAATGTCCATGTTGTTCTCATAGTAGTGGCAGCGTTTGGTCTCCCTCATAGAGGGAACGTACTCATACACATCTACTGTGTCACATAGGGACAGCAGGAGGTGGATACCTGAAAATGGTGCAGAGAAGTCAGATTAATATTGTGTTGTCTTCCACTGTGAATAATTTCATCAGGTTGGTGAATGATTGAAAGGGTTGGTGGAAAACAATGTCCGGTCAGATCGGCAGAAAACAAAGTCCAACTCATGATTGAACAGCAAATATTATGTTGATTTTGGAAGACTGACTGTTTCTAGACATCGAAGTGTACTGGTTTCTTTTTTAAGAAAGACTTTTTCTTACTAGTGTATTGTGAACAAAATCTCCATATTTATCTGTGCAGATATATATACAATGTACTTCAATAGAAAAAGAAAGAACTTCCAGACAGAATGAAAGAGCATATCATAATTACTTTGTCATTTTTATGATACACATATAAAATACAGATACTTTGCACATACTCCTTTGCACATGCTTTGCCTTGAATATATTAAAACATTTTCAAAGAAATCAGATACACTGGCTATTACAATGTACAACATCTGAGACAGAACCTACCCATGAATCCAGAGGATGGTACATTCCTGACGATCTTCTCTCTGGTGTTGCGGTGTAGAACTTCCCACAATTCCCACAGGTAGCGTGGGTCCATGATGTACACGTGTTCCCACGGAGATTCGCGTCTACGCTTTTCGTACGCGGGAAACAGGTCAAAATCTGGCTTCTTATACCACTGGAAAACACATAAACATTGTTAGATTCTACTACAAGTTAGACATGACATTGTAATACCAGCACATAAGCAGAATGTACTGCTCCTTTGAAAAACCTGGCATGTATTGTGCATAGCACTTTGTCCGAAAATCTCATTTAAGGTTGTTTCTCACATATTTAAGGATGACTTTCTGTCTATAGTATTGAAATGTTGTATTGGAAAATCCAGATTGTACATTGAACATTCTGCCGGCATGGTAATTATGGTACAATTACTACATGGACATGAATGCATCTTGTACTAATATCATAACATTTTTCATGTAAGACAAAAAGCCTGCAAAAGGCCTGCTGAAATCTCTAACATGTTTTACAGTGCACAGGAGACTTAAAAAACAGCATCAGAGCTTGCTGAGCCAGAATGAGATGCATACATTACATAGCACAAAGACTACTAACCTCCATCATGGTACCACCATACGACATGGGGTCCCAGAGTACCATGGTGATGTTACGGTACCGGGGGTCAGTGAACCAGTGGTACTCAGAGTGCTTGACGACTATCTGTGAGTTCATGAGACGCAGGGTGGTCTTGGTACCGACGTCTGACTCGTAACGCCTTGTGGGGGCATTGTTGTACCTCAGCACTGCATCATGGGAATCTAAGATCATGTAGGAATAACAAAATCCTTGTATTCCTGGGAAAAAACGTCACAGCTACATTTTTTAATCAAAGCTGCTTTTTTTTTATGGCTAATACATTGTATATATATATATATAATTTAACCCAGGTTGAGCCTTACAGTATGGTATTTTCTCTATCAGTTATTATATAATTCATTATTATATTCAGATATTCTATTATTATAGTAGAAGTCCTGGAGTGGTACAGTTACTGTACTTTGTAGTTTTTTGTTAGCAATATTCCTATAGCTACATATACAACAAAATAGAAATACATGTAGTTCAGATAGATTTAGTGTTAACCTTCCATTGCTGTGATGGAGTTGATTACAAGAAATGGAAAAGGCCAATAGCACTTGCAAATGGGCAACTAAATTAAATAGGGTTAAATTTAGAAAAGTCATAAACTGACTGTTGTATGAAGTCTGCACATGACTCACCTATGTCTTTCCCTCGCTGAGAGCCCAGCATGGCTCCAGCATTCATCACAGCTGCGCAGGTGTGAAAACCACCTGGATACAGCTGCAGGAGCCCCGGCCGGGCCTCGATGTCCCGGTACCCCAGCTGTTTCCATGGCGACTCGTCTGTTGGTAGCGTGCGGAACCTGGCTGCGGTCTGGAGACTACATAGCAGCCGTCTGGACGTGCTACTGAGGGACTGTCAAGATACATGTATTACCGTTTTTATTCATGTTTACATAGAAAATCCTATTTTTACTAAAATCATTATCTATCAAATTATATGTATATCATTATTTCATTGTTTATTTTGTATGTTGTGTGTTTTTAAAAACATGTAAAGATGATTCATATCACCCTGTTTTGTTTCCCCTAGTAGGCCCTCCATTGTGTTCAACGGTATAAGTGTACATGGTTTATTTACGTAACAAAAATACATTACACACATGTATATTTGAAATAGGTAAAGGTCCTAGCTAGATTGAGGTTGTAGGGCCACTACTTTTTACCCCCCAACCAAAGTCATTACCCATTTTATTAAAGCACCTGAGTGGACTAAAATACCTACTGGTGCATCTGTTGTTATTCTTGTTGATGTTTGGTTGTTTCTATAGCCATCTTGTCTTTCTTGCTGTTTAACATATGATATTGTTGCTGTTGTTGTTTGGTTGTCTCTGTAGCCATCTTGTCTTCCCTGACGTTTAGCGTACGCTGGAATCCATCTTGCCCTGGCCTTGGGTCGGACCGTCTCCACGCGGAAGACATGTCGTGTCAGGTACAAGCAGAACACAGCGGTGACCGTAACCATGGTGACAAGGACAAACAGCCATTTTGTCGCCATCCTAACATCAGCAAAGACAAACAATGATGTCAATGTTGAGAAGATACCGGGTAGATGTTGTTGGACTGTCCCAATAGGAGAAACAGGGATTATGAAGGCTTTTTGAGAACTATTTAAAGGTAAGGCCACACCAAGTAAATTTTATGGATGACGTCCTTTGGAAACCCTAAATCTAATGCGAGAGGGCGAAAAAAAAACAAGAAGGGCCCTAAAAAACAAGATGCCTAGATTAGAAATATACTAAGAGACGACAAATGTTAGGACACAAATTGAATGAGGTGACACAGTGTAACAAGCAAGAAGTCTTTTATTCATCATCAAAACGGCAATAAATCAGGTGGAACAGTGGACAGTGAAGAATTTTTTGTTATTGACAGGATGGTCCTGTCAATAGACACTTTCTTCGCGTTACGGGTTTCACGTCAATCTGACGATTTGCGGCACTGTCGTGACTCTATGGTCATAGTTACAGGAACCGAAATTTCTTTTTTTTTTCTAGGAACAGGCCAAAATCAATGCGCGCGTGGACGTCATCCATAAAATTTACTTGGTATGGCCTAACAGCCAATAGCCCGGAATCCAGTCTTGTTATACGTAGCATCTGCTTCAGATTGCTTCAGACATACCCAACCGAAACAATTAAAGGCATCTAAGAAGCTTTTGAAAGCTCCTTGAGTCATCCTGTCAATAATACACATACAGTTATCGTCCTGTCAATAGTACATGTACATATTTTTGTATATATTGTATACACGTTTTTTTCCTATAGAAATATTCCTGCTAAGATTCTTCTACTTTGAAATCTTCGAGAAGATGTTGATGGAGGTGGTGTCATGTGTTCTTACTGTCGGCCTTACCTCAATCCAATATCTGCTTGGAGATAATTTTATCCATCAAATTTATTCAGGTAAGAAAGAGGGTTCAACTGATTCAACGTTACCTTTCACTGGCAAGGCGACAAGAACAGCTTGTGCCATCACACACTGGACACGTCTGCAGATTACGTCACATATCGACAGTTTTAAGATCATAAACTTTTACGGAGATAAACATAGTCAAAGAACAGCTGGAGCTTGCATTAAAAACCAGCGGTCGCAATGGCACCTACCATTCTCTGTAAAGGTAGTTATTGTTCATTCATAAATTGAAGAAAAACGCCCAGTTGAGTTGGGTATGGATAGGTAATAAATAAATAAATCATACATATATTTACGTGATATTGATTTTCAAAACTTAATAAGTCATTACTTTTCTTTATTCATATTCTTTTCGATTTTCTTCACCTCCCCGTAGACATATGGAACCTTCGGGGTCAAGGATACGGAGGGGTCAAATTGGCCATCTTGATCCCAGAACAGTTTAGTACAACAAAGTGTAATCTCGGAAAGTAACAGAATTTTACCATATATTTTTCTTTTTCCTTCCTTAAATGTTAAACAAAACTTAGGGGGAAAATTTAAGTGACAAAAACGTCTCACACTCTCTCTGTATCCTTCTTTTAAAGACACAGAGCTCTGAGAACGAGATTCAAAATGGCTGCCGCTACTTCAGAAATGTTTGTCCGGATCGCTGGTGTTTCTGGGGCTCTAGCGGTGGCGTTAGGCGCTTACGGGGCCCATGGTAGGTGCAGGGTATAGCCATGAAATAGGTAATGCGAAATAAAGTTAAACTTTCGGATGAAATTGTCGAGTAAAGCCGAAAACCCGTTCGAAATGTGCACCCCTTCCCCGGCCCCCTCATATAACCGAAACCACGACAGAAACCAACAAAGCGAGTCCAAAAGTAAGGAAAGGAAGTAAAGATGGATTGATCTTGGTTGGAATAAAGTACAATAAGTATACAGACCACCACAAGAACCACCTAGAGATTATTGAGTTGACAAATATGACTGAAGTTCTACGTGTTAGATTTACTTTTTTGTCCGTTTTTCAGCATTCCGGGGTGACGTTGGAGAGAAGAAAGTGAGTAACTTGCCAAAATGTTTTGTGTCAGGATAATTTCAGCATTTACTTATATTTTGTAGACTCTGTATCATTTGTAGACTCATATTCGTAGACATCAATGGATCTAATCTGTACCAATCATAATCAAATAGCACACATAGATAACGTTAATACCAACGACATATGATGACAGGTAGACACAAACAGGTAGACTGCATATTGTCATTATTAGTGTAATGTGTGAAACAGAGTAATGAAAATTATCTTCTACATGTAAAGTTAACTTGTGTTCTCTTCCAGACATTTGACACAGGGAACAGATACCACCTCCTGCACAGCGTAGCTCTGTTGGCAGTCCCTCTCACACGCAGGCCACTGCTGGTTAGTTACATGACGTACAGTCAAACTTGTCTTAAGTGACCACTCCGGGTACTTAAGAGTTGATATTATAAAGATAACATTTGCAAAGCAAATGCATAATGTTCGCATATGGTCTGCTCTGTTAATTCTTACTCAAACGCATTCATATACAATGTATATGGTCAGACAGGAGTCTAAATCCCTCCTGCTATAAACTTGCAACTTGATGTATTATATAATAAACCCAACACTAGTTACCATGGCAACAGTTTGGTTCAGGTCATTGACCGTTTTAGTTTGGAGAAGCGTTGCAAAAACAATGTTTTCCTTCAGTAAATATAATCATACTCAGTAAACAGGTGGTTAGTGAAAGCATTTGACTGAAGTGAGTTGAACCCATGATATCAGTTGCATGTTCTTTGTTTTAGACTGTAAGAAACTCTCATATATCCTCTCCAGGTTGGATCTCTGCTGAGCTGTGGAATGCTCCTGTTCTGTGGAGGCTGTTATCTCAGCTCTCTGTTCGAGATGCGGTCGGCTGCAAAGATCACTCCCATCGGAGGGATGATGCTCATCGCAGGCTGGCTCTGTGTAGCTCTCTAAATGTTCTGTACCCAAATAGTTGCACAACCAAAAGGATTTCTTGCTAACACTGCCTTTCCAGTGAAGGCTCCAACCATTCATGACCAAATATTTGCTAGTGAAATGAGATTGTTTCAGCTGTGCAACAAAGAAGCGTATAGTCTGTTTATGAACCAACCCTTGATTACATATTACAAAGGTTTTATACAGTGCCTTATTCCATACAGGTGTTTTGTTTTGACCATAGTTTATTCAACCGAAACTGATACAAAGAGACCAACAAAAACTGTAAGTGTTTAACTTAAATGAAAGTTTAAATTTCTGTCACATGTTGATGTACACCCCATTGGCCCATCAATAACAGAAAAATGTCCTGCAGTACGTCCATGATGTGATAGGGGTCGCTGTTGTGATACCATGCATCTCTGAATTTGAAGGGAAAGTTTTTTTGTGACCACTTAAAACATGGAAAAACATACTCTTTTTGTGTAGATTCAATAAAATAAAAACAAGAAAACACAGAGCCATTGATAGAATCTTTATTTTGAAGTTTTTCTAGAGACATTCACACTGTTCTAACATCTAGTAAAGTGTTTTGTGCTGCATTCAAAAATAACAAAAAAAACTGACAAAGAATAACAAAGGCTTGTGTTGGTAAAACAATAAGCTCTCACACATTGTTGACAACGTCGCTTAAAGTACAACAGTACCATTTTCTCTATAGGTACCTGACTGCCCAATATAATTGTATGTTCTAGCAGCATCTGCCTTGTGGCTTTCAGAATGTATGGCTTGGCTCCTAGGGTTACTAAACATGCAGCAAGAAAATAAAGGGTGTACACCCAACCTCAATCCACCCTGCAATATACCGTATTTCACCCATTACTTCTTATTCATGAAGTATAGAGAATAGGGAAAATAAATTTCAGGCTATTAAAGCCTGACTGAACAGTTCATTTACCAAGTCATTATAACTGTTGCAATGTCTATGACTTATACCCCTTGACACCCTTGTAAAATATAAACACACCAGTTTTGACTACCATACCCCATCTGCAACATTTATACAAGTAGTCAAGGAAAACGAGTGCTCTTGTGCAAAGAAATCTCATTCGTGCACTCGACTTTACAGTACATGCAGTTTTATTAAACTTTTTAAGTTTCCAAAAACAGCTACAGGTCTTTTTGGCAATGCCTCAGGGGCAGAGGCATTATTCTGCTTGGCACCAGTCTTGTATGAAAGTGAGGTGGCTTGAAAAGTCGTATATATAGTACGACTATGTCTTAGCAGCAACAGCAGTCTGTTGTTTTTATCGGTCTTTTTTCCCATCTTTCATCATATTTTTGATGAAAGTGAAATTTTGCCCATGTTTATTCTCCCAGTAATATTCTTACATTTTCGATCAGTATATACATGTAGTAGCAGCGCTAGCACTATCCAGTGTCCATTTCCTCCACTTCCTCTGCCACACTAGGATAAACATCCATGTTACTTTCGCGACCTTGTGCAAGGCTCTCCAGATCCACGGTTTCGCTGTGCACGACAGAGTACTGCGTGCTGGAGTCGCACTTCTTACCCGAGCTGACAGTTCTCGCGGTCGGCAGTGGGACGCGTACGGACGGAGCGGAGTGGCGGGGGACCTGCTGGTCGGGAAGTTCCGGCTCGGGCGTCGGCGCGGGAATTTCCATCTGCTGTGCGATTTCGGGGCTGGGAAGGGCGGTGTGGCCGTTAGCAGCGAAGGAGATGTTGGTCGGTCTGGGTCCGTTTGGCGAGGAGGCAAGAGGGTCGGAAGTCTTCATGGTGGCAGACTGGGGGCATGTGGGTGCGTGTGTGTAACCACTCTTTCCTAGGGATCCTGTAGGAAATAGTAGTTTGTAGTCAGACAAAGCTTCATCGTGAGTCATGGTGACAAGATAGAGAACAAGTAAACTGCACCAAAACCAACCCAACCAGTGCCATTTCACATTGCATGAGGACTGTCATGCAGTCAAAATCAATGGCAAACTGACCGATTCAATCAAGATTTCTCACTAGTTATCATCCAAAAATGTTTTTCACCACATACTTGAAAATGATTCAGTCGTAATAGGAAGAGATTGGGTCGTGTGTGGTCGATTAATGCTTACATACTACTGAGAAAAAGCTGTCACTATGGCCAGATGGCTGTCTTACAGAAGGGTTGCTTGGGCAAGTTTGACTGTATATCACTGTTCCCTTACCTGTGTGAACAGACAGTCTACTGGCTGGGTTGGTGCGCGGGGTCTGTGTGCCCGGACGGCTGGCTGACCCACTGGTCAGTGTCCTGGGAGAAGCTATGCCGATGCTGTGACCAGTGATCGTCATGCCCCTCCTCAGGCTGGGGGGTATTGTGTTGTCTGCCAGCACGCCGCCGATAGATCCCGTACGCTTGCGCCCACTTGGCGGTCTGCCTTTTGGGGGTGTGGCACCGGGCGGTAATGTTTCCTGCTAGGTGGTGAAAATACCGGTTAATTGTAGTTCTGTTTTACACAAGGAAAATCCTACTCAAGCAACTGGATAGATTTAGAAAACTGTCAGACGGGCTATAGACACAGAGATAGGTTCTGCACTATACACGCACATGGTCTGTTAACTCTAGGCTATATTCTGTTAACTCTAGGCTATATTCTGTTAACTCTAGGTTATATTCGTTGACCTGAGCTGACCTGAGGAATGGCACCATTGGAGTCTGCCCATGCCTGCCGTGCCTTTGTGGGGGGGTTGCCTCGGCCGTTGTACTGTGGGGGGTTGTTCTTTACACTCGTGTTGTCAGCTGGGAAAAAAAAGATAGAAAAAACAATTGGTAAGTAAATGTTATTTCTATGAGTGATATCAAGGTAGACTGTACACTGCAAGGTTGCCAGACCATACATGTATACACGTTAACTTCAAAAATATGATCTTTATTGACATAACAAAAGTATGGAGACTTTCATAAGGTATACTACAACTTAACATATAATCAAGACTTAGTGGATATAAATGAATTAAAAAATGTCAACTACATGCAAGTATGCCAAAAAAACAGTTACTCAAGCAACTGGATATGATTTTGAAAACGTCAGACGTTTCAGTCACTGACGAAAGCTAGTGGATACTAGCTGAAACGTCTGACGTTTTCAAAATCATATCCAGTTGCTTGAGTAACTGTTTTTTGGCATATCGTATTACCTGGATGTCTAACCTTCATCGACGTACATGCAAGTATATATATGTGAATCAACATTGTTGAATTTGACATATCATGTATACATGTTGTACTAGTTGTGAGGTCTAAACATTCTTTTATACATTTTATATACATGTATATACACAGTCAGGTAAAAGACTAAACCTTCTCCAGTAACCAAGAGAGAACTGGTAGCCAAATGGCTATTTCATTGTGCTTATGATACAGTACATGTTTTGCTGAACAATCTAGGTCCTTACCAGCTTCCTCTGCATCCTTGTCAGACACATACATCTCAGGCTGGGTCAGGAAACAGCCGTTAGGGTTCGACCTCGGCACAAACAAACCAAACCTGTTCAGAGATTGCACATCCATCACCTGCGACCTGGAGAATAAACAACAACAACAACAAATAAAACATCTGTGCCATCACTAAGATACCCAAATGACATGTACATTTTGTAGTACTAGTAAAAATTTACAGAAATGAATGTGTGTCATACGTATGTTCTTACCTATTATATCTGGCACCAATGAGAAAAGCATGTACTGTCTCCCCGTCTTCTGCAACTATTGGGTTCAGCCTGGAACAAGACAGATAGACAAAGTAATTTTTCTTTTATCTAATAGACCTAATACACAATTCATTTGCAGTAAAATGCACAATCATAGCTTGCTTTTGCATACAAATTACAATGCACAATTTACTTCAGAGCTAAGCTGTTGTACTCACTCCTTGGGAAGTTTTCCTGTGAGTGGGCGCTGGTCCTTCATCCTCTGTAGGTATCTCTTGATGTCTGTACTGGTCTGTGAGGAGGGGGCAGACTGGGAGCGATGGTGCCGTGCTCGTAACAGGCTGAATGGGAAAAATTCAATCACAATGTACATGTGTAGTTCAAACAATGTAATTAAGTCTGAATTCTAACTAATCATGAACACAACTCTAGATACAAAACCATTTCCATATCAGAAATTCAATTTTTTTTGAACCTTAGAAAGTTATGTACCCCAAAGAAACATGACTGACCAGAACTTATAGGAAATACAATACACAAAATACAGGTGTAGAGGCCAGAATATACCCCTGGCCAAAATATACTCCCAGATGTATTCTAGCCAGGGGTATATTCCTGACTGTTACACCTGTACACATGTCCCATACCTCCCGTACGTTATACATCTTCCCTTACTTCCCTATTTGCCTTTTCTTTTGTAATTAGACATTTTTCCTACAAAGTAAAATATAGCTTCTTTATAGAACATAACAAAGTCAGTATGCGCAACAATCATCGCTATGTAAAGTTCATCCCATTCTATCCCATACTAGCCACCCACTATCATATTAATTAGGCTAACCATTATGAAAATGTAGTTAATATGTACTATTGTACTTAGTAGAATGCCATACTTTGTACCCTGTACAACTGTTGTGCAATAAAGTTATCTGTAAAATGAGGGTCTCCACATGAACAGTCCTGACCTGGCCCGTGTAGGTCTGCCCAGAGAGCTGGCTTCAGATGAGGTTTCGCTGGCGGTGTCTGCCGCCGTCAGGAACTGGTGCGCCTTCATTGGCCGGTGGTACGTCAAGCCATTCACCACGATCTTCTTGTACTTGGGCTTCTTGGGCTTTACTCCTACTGTCTGCTCCCCCTGAGGAATAAAAAAGAAGCCAAATTAAAGGATGATACCACAAAAAGAAACATTTACAAGTCTTGATTTTATCTATCATGTTGCATGATCATAACTGTCCTATGGTATCTGTACGTGTATCTGTATAGCCAGTATAACAGCCCCTCGGCATAACACACCAGCTTTCACGGGCATGCATCGCAGCGGTAGCAGGCTATGTGACACTGAATGACTTGTCTTTGAACATCTAAACCTAAACATTTTTAAAAGCTTTCTAGTGAGGACGCCCCAAATGTACCTGGTGGCAGTGAGTTCCACTCTGATCCAGGAACGAAAGAGTTTTTGAACACCTCAATCCTTGGTTGATAACTCTGGTACTTGAAAAAGCATGATTTCTTGTTCTTTTTTGAATGGAGCAATCTGCACAATTCCCAAAACAATAACTACATCTAGCCAACCCTGTAAGTAGTTGTACATGTACCCGATGGTTTAGTTTAGTTTTTTTACCTTCTTGACAAATGTAACTCACCCAAGGGATCCAGTACCAATGCAGCATGGTTGAAATGACCAGCAAATAACTGTGTTACAGTAACTGCACCTGAAAGTTGTGCTAAGCTTGAACTACACAAAACTGAGCCGACTCCTGTAGTCATAACAACTGGTGCGTAACAACCTTGACTGAGGTTTGTCGTGGGTATTACACCACATCGCCTGTTGATCATACAACACGCGGGAAACATGATACCAAGGGAGGAAAAGATGGCAAAACAAACACACTGGAACCCCCAATACCTTTGTAAAGTGGCCAGGATTTGTATTGTATTGCAATTGTGCATACACATTAAACAATCTAGATTTCAAATTTACTATACCCAGGTTTGTAAGATTCACTCATGCAGCATGGGCAAAAATTCCTTCTAATCTAAATTGTGTGTAATCTAGGTACCAAAACCATGTGATTGTGTATGCAGTAAACTGGAATGTATCCTGTATCATTTGAGAGGGCTTTGGCAATGGACTGACTGTTTTGAGATAAATACAACTGTGGCGATTTGAACTGTAGAAGATATAGTTCCATGGTATTACAATGTAATTAAGTCTACAAACACAAGTCTTTGGTGCCAGCCACTATTAAGAATTACAAACATACGGCTGTACTAGAGATTTTTCAAACCAAGGACGTTATTTACAGACACAACACAAGTGGCAGGTACTAGTATACAAAATGAATGTAACCAGGCTTCAACATGTATAATTTGTATAGAACATGTATAAAATTGCTGGATGATATTATGTAATATAGCCAGCTGCCACTGTACCATACGCCTAGCTGAAGCTGGTATGTTGTGCTGAAGGGCCATTACACCAGCTATACAGATACACATGTAGTGAGAGTTGGAGCTACCATACCTTATTGCTAGCCAGCAGCTGGGATGTTAAGAGTGCGGCCTCCCCACTGTGAGTCTGCTGAGAGCTGACGGTGAGGACCCAGGCTGGGGAGGGGGTGCGCGCGTGCTGGCCCAGGGATGACTGTTTTCTCGCCTCCTGGACCAGTTCATCCATGTGCTCTTCTGACTGATCCACAGAGTAGGTGGACATCGGGTAACCTTTGGTACCTATGGGATGACAAAAAGTAAGAAGTGTCACAATAGGTGTTATACCCGGAAATCAGGATTGCCGTTACAAATTGGATGACACCCAGCTACCATGATCTGTATCCTGATGTGTGATGAAAAATTGTACAGTTTTCAGTTTTCCAACATTGACATTAAATTAAAAGTGTCCTCATGATCATGCAAGTTTTACTTTGTTAATCTGTATCGTATAACTTGGATCACTAGAGATCGCCAAAGTGTACTAAAAAAGAGATAATCCCTAACTACCGACCCTAATTTTTTCAGGACTGAAAGTGAAACAGGAAACACAGAATTTTTTCCCTAGGTCTAACGCGTGATAATGCAATTCTTACTCTTACTCTATGAAAGCTATGAATTAAGTCTGGAATTATGTAATGCAATTATAGTGAATATCTTTCAAGCAATTTTAATACAATGAGAAATGCATCCACCCAAGAAGTGTACATGTCCCTAAAGATTTCTTATCATTCTATCAGCTACAGTGAATTATCTTCTTCTATCTACATGTCTAAAGGTCTGTGTAGCGAGCCACTTGTAGCAGTTTAACATATCACTGCACAATTTTGTACTGCAGCACATATAAGAGACACTAGGTGGCGCTTCTAAACTAATGAAGACTCCATAATGATTGAAACTTTTTGGGCAAGTCCACAGGCCAGTAAATCATAGGACCCGCAGTAGCCAATAGACTATATATAGTGACCAGGCCCTGAAATGAACTTTTCTTCCTATTGTCCCAGCACTGTCCAAAATTGAATTTCCCAACCTGTTTTTCGGGAAGTATTTTATGACTTCAACTTGAAGTCAACTTTATTTTGCTTATGTTCACTCCCAGGCGCACTATAATTGCAGAGTAGTGATATTTGGGGGGGACTGTTCAGAAGCAAAAAGCCGGGATGTGCACCCGATAAACAAAAAAAGGGCCGACATTCTGATGTTGAGTACTGTTCTATTGTCCCATAAAATGTCCCAAAGTATCTTTTTAGTTGTCCTGGCCTACATTTTAGTGGTCAGTGGCCATTGGGACACTGTTAATTCAAGCCCTGGTGACCAGTAGCTCCTAATGCTGAGGTTTGTGTACATTTGAGTCCTGGGGTGCCGACTGTGCGTCGATGACAGATCGGATGGACTGATTTCCCCTCATTAATGTGATCAGTCAGCCCGGCACTGTGATGAGGTCAGGGGTCAGGATGTTATCAGGAGTAGAGTCGCCCGAGGGCGGGAACGCCCAGCTGCATCATGGGAATGTTGTGATGAGTGATGTTTCTGGACGCCGGCCTCAGAGGATACGGATAATGTTCAACAGTTGCAACTAGTGGTGCATACCTAAACCCACATTTAGGTTCAGGTCCAGATTCAAGTCCATACGTTTAGGTTCTACAAGTCCGGACCTAAACCCATAGCATATACAAAATTGCATGTTGGCAACTGCATGTTGTACATTCTTTCAAATTGAATATAAAATACATTTGCCTATTTGTAATTTATCTGGCTATTTAGTATTTGTATATTACAGTAAAGATTATCTTCTCCTAGTTTCCCAATTGAGTATGTATTTTTTAGCCCTGCTTACTAAATGTGACTGTGTACAAATGTAACTGGACAGCTCCTACAGACGTGTTTGATCAACACATTGTCATCATATTAATCTTCGGATACAAGTTGTTAAGACCTTCAAGACACTACAACAAGCGGCAGAACTTGACTTCTCAGAAACTGGTCAGCAGCCGAATCTGTCATCACCCAAGCACTAGTTCTGTTGGACCAAATCACCATCACGTTCCCAATTAGAGTAAGGTATGGGACGTGGGGTTCACAGGGGAAGTAGTGTGATCTGGGAGAATCTAGGGTGCTTGACCTTCCTTACTCAGCTTCAAAAGCACCCCTCCTCCCCTGTCCAACTTCGTTAGCGTCAAACGGCTAATTATTGCTGCTAATTGTCTGTCAGGTTATAAGAGGAAATAAGTTTATCTCCGGGAATGTTGCTGGTCTCCAGAACTGTACTGGATTGTGGTACAGTAGTTTCTTGCCTGAGGTATGAGGCAATATGCAGTGTTCTAGCCAGACTGTTCATCTTTACATCATTTGACGGGATTTTGCTACTCATGATGGCCAAAAATTTTGCCCAATTCGTCATCCTTAATTGACAAAAAATCTGTGTGTAAATATATGGAAAGATCTTCATCTACCAGTAAAATTTGTCGCTTAAAATGCATGAAATTGCTTTTTGGAGGGTCAAAATTAGAATTTTTGAAGGTGGAGCATGCCCCCAGACCCCTTTTCATTGCTCGATATGATATTACATGTTACATCAAACAAAATTGAGATGACTGAAAAGATTTCTAGGCTGGCTATAGTCAAACATGTACCACTACCAGCGGCAATCTCTGTGTATTAAGAACCACCTAAGGCAGCATTTTTGGTGGTCCCCTTCACTATTATTTTTCCATTGACCCAAGCACTTAAAGAATGTCTATTGTACAAAATGTAGTTAGCCACCTGTCTGCAGTGTGACTTTTTACTTCAAGTCCCTCGAGTGGACATCCAGTGTAACGTGTGGCCTAGAGAGATTGTACATTGTGAACTATCATTGTGAGTTAGGTTATGTCACACCTGGGTTTAGTAGTAACCTTTTGTTACTTTGTGTTCTTCAGTACCTTTGTGTTGCCGTTTGTTTATGTACATGTATCCCCCGAGTACATGTTGGCCAGAAGAACAAGCCAAACGCCAGCCAGCCTCTCCAGTTCCCATCTCACAATACACAGCCCACACAATAGCTGCCTGCCTTTGCGTGGGTCCCCCCATAGGGTACAGTTACCACGGCTTAATAGTTTCCGATGGAGTTAGTACTATTGTGGTCCACTGGCCCTTGACTTTTTGGCCCGATCCTTTCACTTAAAGAATACCTACGACACTTAAGATTAATGCTTTGAGGCCACCTCAGGTCGACGTTGCTCTTTAAGACATTTGCAAAAGTAAACAATAGTTTATTAGACCTGTCAAAACAAACATAGGAGTACAGTATATGTGACAGTTTATTCCATAACTTAACAACATTTTTTATGCTTTGTTACGAATACTGTTGATTTTGGATAGCTGAACTTAAACCATAATAGGATGGACTTAACCTTAAAAACAAAGCACACACATGTACTGAACGAGCCAAACATCAATTCTCTATTGGTTGCATTGTATCAGCTGTATCACACAATACTTTCAGTTATCTGTACATTATGTACATGTGTAAGTATATACATTGTAACTGAAATCCTCAAAAATAAGGCACTGAGTACTACTCTACTTTTTGCCTTGGTAAACACATTTTTGCAAGCATGCCAAAAACATTAAATGTCCATCAATGTGGTCCCTTTAATTTAATGATATTTGGTATAACATTGAAATTTACCATATACATTGTACAGCAGTAGCAAAATAGACGCCACACATTTAAACCTTACCAAGCTGCCATCCCAAACAACAATATCTGATTAATTAGAATATTTATGGCTTGTAGTCTTAAAGCCATTGTTCAGAGAAGGCATTGATGAAGCATGTGTCTAATTGGAAGTAAGGAATGCCTGTTGTCAGACTCCAGCGACCCTTTCACCAATCTGTGCCTGGTCCCAGGCCGGCAAATTTTCAATTAAGGAGCCAGCAATGATGAAATAATGTGTGAGCTGGGATGATTGAACGGGGTTGCTCCTGGGGACTTATTATACGGGCTCTGCCGCTGATGCATGTTGGTGAAGTGATTAAAGTGAGGTGGTAGAGGGGGGTGGGAGCTGGGCAGAAGGGGTTAGTGGAGGGAAGGGCGGGAGGGAGGGGGTGTACAAGTCAAGAAAGAAGGAAGTTCAAATTGTGAGGCTTGAAGGCATGGCTTACACAATGACTTATGTCCTTGCCAATAGGAAACGTGCAGTGACATTTTGTTCTTCTGTGGCAGTTGACAGAGATGTAAAAGGGTGTGCATGGGGTTTTGAGAGGTAGCAGAGGCTGTGTATGGGGAGATAGAATTATGAGTGATTTGATCCTTCACTATGAAACAAGGAAAAATTTCCCTTAGTTTATATTATAATATTCTCAACTTTTATATGATAGTTATTCAACATTTATAAAAAGTACTCATTGAACAATTCCTTAAATCCAGAGATATTATGTTGATTTTTACATTCCTTCTTCCAAAAAATCTGTATCAATGGCCATTTAGCCACTACAAAGGGAAGCTATTGAGTTTTCCACATTTGCAGCAGCGAGTCCAGGGCAGGAACGAGTGATTTAGCCGGGAGTCTCTCGACACTTATTCCCACAAATTACATTCGGAACAGAGTCCACTGATATAATGAACCATTTGTCACCGTGACAAGCACATGCGCAGGTAATAAATTGCCCGGTGACTGTTTCCCAATCGTGCAAATTGGGAGGCATGATTGTTAGGTGATCGCGGTAACAAAGTGTCCATTTGCGTCGGGGTCGGCCAATTGATGATCCGGCGGGTCTAAAGGCTGAGACTGTAGCAGATTGAAATAGAGGGCCACACTGCGACTGAAAATTAAACTCTGAAGGGTGGTGGCAAGTTTGGCCGACCTCACGGAGATTTATGTTTGACTACGGGCGACACATCAATCAGAGATGATACAGACTGCACTATAGCAACTGTATCACCGATATTGTTTGTCCAATTGTACCTGAATCTTCTTTTTACAAGTGTTGGGGTTATGTTAATATAGATATTCAGCATCGCAAGCAAAGAGCGAGTTGCCCCTCTGTATATCTAGCCGGACTGCCCGCACATGAGTCATGACCCAAAGCTCGCCCACAAATCAAGCGGAATGAATTCAATCTCATACGTCCAGGATCCCCCCTGTATCAATCTGCCCCGCGGTTTGATTGCCCATGAAAAGTGTTGGCGCGTTGCATTGTTATCCCATCAACCCGCTCGTTACCACTATTAACGACCAATCTTGCCGGCCGTGACGGAG